GCCAAAGCTAGCACGACTACCACCGAGGAGGCTTCGCTGCTGCTGGTGTTGTTGAGGTCAACAATTATCCTGCTGAAGCATCACGCCAGCGCTGTGGACGATGTTAGGCGCAACGCTCAGACCTATGTTAGAGTTAGACTTTTCTCGCCCGATATCGGGCCGAGTTGCTCGAGTTGCTCGAGTTGAACGAGTTCCAGACCAAAAATTTTCTCGCTGCGCCCTTCGGGCGCACTATCTTCGAAGCGTCAAATACGTTGCCCAGGGGCGCGAGCCACCCTCACAAGCAAACGCCCCCAGTCGCGCCCTCTCTTCTCTGCGAGGCGCTGCATCCATGCGCGGGGCAGACAGGAGCAACGCCACCTAGAGGCCCTGCTCTCGTAGTTTTGTGCCACTAAGATAGCGCGCCTGCCTGGTATAGCTGCTGCCCTATAAAACAAGCACACAAATAAACCCACTGCGCCACTGATTCCGATCCCGATGCGTCTACACTACTCGGGGGGGCCTTGCTTGTGATGCTACCCACTAGGCGGCGCGCTACTCAGTAAGCCCACTACAGCGCAAACGGCGGCCCCAAGAAGCCGAACAGGCTGGCCACTCGCCAGCAAAAAAAACAGAGCCAGATCTCGACCGACATCAGCGCACGACCATACAGAGGCACCGACACCGCAGGGAAACCCCTGCACTTCGCAAGGCTTGCGCGCGCGCCACTCAAACAAAAAAGGCCCCGAGCTTCGCCTTCTTACTTTCGCCAAGCCCAAGCCCCGAAGAGCTCTGCCGGGGCGTGTCTCTTCAATACAAACGGCAGACCTGCTAAGAAACAACGGGGCACGGGCTTCCCCCTGAACTCTGCGGCACCTTAGCCCGCAATACCTCCGCGGGGTGCTGCGCTTTCAAAGTGGCAAGCTGCCGCGCGAAACTCGTTAGCAACTCGTTCCGGGCTGGGCTTGTGAGTTTCGGCAACTCGTGGCAACTCGAGAGAACTCGAGCAGCCCATAACTCGAAGAGCGGACTCCTCTACTATGTATTCCAGCAGTAGACAAGGCCCCGGCTTGCGCGTTCGAGATCTTCTGACCGGTATCGCTTAGCGCCGCGGCCAGCTGTTCACTTCCCTGATTCCTTCCTGCTGCCTGTAGCAGCGCACTACTGCCCAACGCATTCCGGTGCAACGGCTGTCCACCACCCTGCAAAGTGCTCAAGCTGATGCCCATCCCATGACTTCCGCCACGCACTCCCGGAATTATCTGCATGACCTTGCTGCGGCAAAGGGCTGACTCCGCCGCCATTATCTCGCGGCGGGAGGTTCATCCCGTCGCCAGGTGTAGCATGGTTGCTCAGGCGCCGCCTGACTCCGGCGGAATAGAAGGCGACAGCCCCTGAGCGTCGACCAAGAAAGTGCCCCCAACTCCAGGCGCGCTGGTTTCTGTGACAGGGGCGCTTCGTTCAGAAAGGTCGCCGCTTTCTGGGCTGGAGGGATTGCGAACGCAAACCCCCTTGGGCGAGCTTCTGCCGGAGACACTGGCCGCCATTCCGCCACTACTTTCGAAGAGGTTGCGACCGGGCTCATGTAAGAGCTGCATGCCAGAAAGGTCACCAGCTTAAAATGATTGGGGCAGTCGGAATCGGGCCCGGCGCAGTTCCTTAATTCTTGAAAGTCAGCGCCTACGATCCGGCGGATTTCATAGCCGCGAACCCGCTGCCACACAATGCGGAAAGTAAAAGGCAGAGCCACGCACGCCGTTGCCCTCTCGATGAGTTCTGAGCACCTCGCGGAGACAGCGCGCCGCTGTAGTCGTCGAACTAGCGTCAGCGAGCGATGCCTGCCTTGCTCGAAGCTGGTTACTGTGTACAGACAGCCGGGGACGCCAGTGGCCTTTACATTGCGTCTGAGGATGACGGCGACAGATTCTCGCTGCTGAAAGCCTACAAGTGGCGAAGTGCTTAACTTATCTCGAAAGTTGGGCCATTGCAGTGCATGAACAGAACCGCGATGGGCAGCACGCAAGTCACCAGTAAGAACCAATCACAGGACACCCATGAGCACGGTGCCAACAATGAACACCAAGCAAGGGCATAAAGAGAGCCGCCGCGACGGTTTGGGCTGTTCGGAGAGTTTGCGAACGTTCGTCAAATATTCTAATAGGATGCTTCTTCACATCAGCACACCTACCCACTCCTCCCCCTAATCTTTCTCCCGTTGTTCAATGATGGCGCAAAGAAAAGAACCAAGGAGCAAACTGCCAAGACTTACGGGGCAAACGCCTATCGCAGTTGCAACGCGGGCCAACGATGCAGAGGCCTTTTCGCTGGCCTTGGCCGTTTCTTCTTCCCCCGTAACAAGCTGGCCGACGTCGACGTGTCTCCGACTCAGGCGGAGCCCTTTCCCGTTATTCACTCAGCTACGGCGCCCGGCCTCACTCGTCTCGCCTCTTCGCCTCGCGGCTCAGATTGATAGACAGTAACAGCTTCACTCGTTCTCACCAGAGCAGTCTAGAACTCCTGGCGACGAGTCCCGCACTTACTTCTTCCATCACATTCGCACGTAAGTAGAGGAAATAACAGCCAGCATTACCAATGCCAACCCCTTTCTAAGTTAGTAGGAACTATATCAAAGAAAATATGCACGCCCGTACATCCATGGACGCGCGCGCGCTAGTCTTACTCGATGTGAAAAATGTTAGTCGGCTCCTACTTGTATCGCCGAATAGTAAACGTCAGCCATAACACCAGAACCGGAGGCCGAAGCGTGGAAGCAAAACCATAGCACCGACACAACTGCGGCGGCCGTGCAGGTTATTCCCAGCCCTCTCGCTGCAGCAACGCGCTTCCGCTTGCTGATATAAAAACTCCAACTGCGACCAAGACCATGCATTTTGTGCAAAAATTCAGTAAGAACAAGAAGCAATGAACCCTTTTTCCCGCTCGGGCATTACAAGTCCTGGCTCTGTTGATGGCAGAGTCCTGGGCTTTCCTAAGGGTGTCAGATAATCAAATCAACAGGGTATATCAGTCACAGCCAAAAGTCTGATGTTTCTCGCGGTGATCAAAGTCTTTACAAAAAAACGTCAGTACGAACTAGAGGCAGTAATATGAACTAGAGTCGTGGCAAAATACTACATCCCCGATGAAAAATCTACCCAGCTTGAGCAATATCCTCACAATCAATGAGCAACCAGGTATGCGCGCCTTCAGATTCAGATTCAGATGGTTCTACGTATTTGAGTACTCATCTTAAGCTTAGCAAACAACTAATGGACCAGGAGAAAGACCATGCTCAAACGAAAAGGATAGCCATGCTTCGTCGATCCTCTGTAGTACCTACCCGACGTCTCATCTCTCCCGTCTCTCAGTTCTCTCTGCTACGACCTTTCTCCGCTACGCCTTTACTCTGATCGCGCGCGGCGCAGACTCGCGAGCGGAGCGCACACTCGCTCGCGCAGACTCAAAGTGTGGGAGATCCAAAGTGTGGATACGATACGGGCACCGGCGACATTGGATGGTCGACGCTGTTTCTTGCACACACCAGTAGTACTATTATCCAGATGATGGCGATGCAGATGATGTCCTCGCCAAATTACCGCTACCAGTATCAAGATCATGCTTTCCTTGCCAAACTACCGAAGGTTGTAATAAAATGCTGCTGCCAATAAACCGGTAGCTGTACCTAGATACTTACGACGGAGCACATGCTAGATTCCAGGTGTCTCGAAATCAATGAGACGGGAACCGACAGTGGACAATCACAGCAGACGAAAACGGAGGACACCAACGAGAGCATTTCTTTCGCAAAGGACCCGCCAGAAGTCGTCAGTTAGAAACAACAGAGTAGATGAAGATCCTCTAAATACAGAGGTGGATAGAATACTGACTAGAGAGCGAGGGCGTAGGACTTCGCATGCCAAGATTGATCTGGGTGCTAAAAAACAAGGTGTGACGGATGAATTCACGCGGGTTGTTCTAGAGAAATCTTGTTTACCTAGTAAAAGGGTGATATACAACGGGACCCATGCCTAGTTCTGAAGGGGAGATCGACATCCACATCAAGACTTCTGATATATAATTTTTGGACTGGAGCATACTAGGAGTTTCATACTGGAATTGGGGTTTCGAATTCTTCAATTCTTGGAGTCCATTACTTACTTACGCCGTTTGGGTTTAGATCTATTTAGATTTTCATGCTCAAAAACATCATAGTCAAGAGTAGACTGAATAGATTCACGGGAAGATTGATGATAGTATTTAGATTATTTAGATTTAGGATTTAGAAAACTATTCAGTGTTCAAACATGGATCGCTGTGAGTCACGTATTACACCATAGGAAACATTCACAGCACATCAATCTATGTTGAGCATTGCTCTCGTACTAATACAGACGGACGGTGGACTTGGACTTCATCATTTACTAGATACATCAATGAGGAGGTGTGTCATCCTAGGTCTCTTTAGATGTTGTTTTCCCCATCGTATATGAGGACTGTATCTATCTGCTACTGCTACGAATCTTTCGCCCAAGTAGCTTTCTGTTCAGCCTTAGTTTAGCCAGAGCCAAAAGTTGATGTAGCTGTGCATTTCTATGCATAAGCAAATGGTGACAATCAATCTATCTACAATCGTGTCCTAGAAACGAATGATCCAAGAAATGAAAAAGCACAGTACAAAACTAAGTTCTCCTTACTGCGATCTTTTTTCTTTAGATATCTTAAAACGACCTTGTCTCTAGTATCTCCTACGCTCACGACCACAGAAAAAAATTAGTCATAGTCTTAGCAACGAATGCCTTATTACACCTTGATGCGTGTACTTTCTTAGCAACGAATTAGGAAAGCCTCAAATAGATGCGTCGACCTTTTGTCCACTGCTAACAGGCTTAGATGTGGAAACTCCGTCCTATGCTCTGAGTCTACTAACTCTGACAGTTACGAAGAAGAAAAAGTGCTTTTTCAATTGTGACTGAGATGGATCTTTAGTTTATTTGGTAAAGTCCCTATTATGGTGCTACCGGTCATATTATGGGGCTACAACGTCTGTCACCTGTGCTCCCGCAGTTTGTCCACCAGCACCCTCCGCACCGTCGGTTGCCGCCGGTTGATTTTCCTCGGATAAGAGCACCGCCAACTTCGTGAGCAACATGTCGGACTTCCGTACTATCCCCGTAGCGACTGAGGTTGTGCAACGCCTTGCGGCCGCCGATCTTGTTCACAGCCAAAAGGTTGCCCTCCAGCTCACAGGCCTTCAGATACAGATCCACGATCATCGGAGTCGGGCCCTGGGCCATCATAGAAGGAGAAACTGGCGATTCCACAACTACGAAGAGAAGCACAGTCATCCGACACTGCATCTAAATCTAGTAGGTGGCCTGCTGTTATAATGATGACGTTAGTCGATTCGGATTGGACTGTGACTTGCTATTATGATACGAAGGAATGATTAATATCCGCAACTTTTGTACGTTCAGATTACTTTCCAGGAGTCAGCTTACAGTGTGTCCAGTTGTCATCAATTTAGATTATTTAGAAATATATATTGCAAGTTGTAAACCCAAGTGGTAGGTTATTTAAATTATTTAGAAATGTAAACCCAATTTAGATTATTTAGAAATGTAAAAAAATCGTATAATATGTAGTTCGTAACTTGGTCATCGCAGTTTTGTTGTTGAAGGTTTGGATGATGGCTTCGTGCAGTATGTGAGCAAGTCGTAACTAGTACTAGAACTAGCCTGTTCGTTGGCAAGCGCTACTTTCGCCGTAAAACCCGTCGCAACAAGCCAGGAGTTCAATGCAGCTGCTGAAGTTAGCGAGGTTTTTCAGGTAATTCTTTGTTTTGATGGCAATCTACTTCTAAAAGAAGAGTGGTGCTGCAGCCAACCTAACTAGTATAAAGTAAACTGTCATCTAAGTATACCTTCTCTTGAAAATTTAGGTACAAGCAGATGACTCTTTGAAGTAATAATTGCTCTTAGCCTATAGATACTATAAAGTAGTCACAGCATCAACAACAATCCTTAACTGCAGCGCTGAGCGAACCACGGCAGCTGCCCGGACGTAGAGGAGCAACTTCATTTCGGAGAATTCGCCGTCACTGGCGTCCATCAAGTCAGAAGTCTCTAGGTGGAATCTGCTGGGAGAGGATGTTCTGAATCTTCATCAGCTGGAACAACGCGGCACCACGGATTTTATCTGGAGTTGGAGTTGATGTTCTTAACAAGAAGACGATGCTGAACAAAACATAAGATTAGTCAAGGACCTGATTTTCTTAAACAGAAAGATCATCTGGTTGCATTTCTTTTTTTGAAGAATACTGTGGCGGTGCTCGTTGGTGCGGGTTCACTGCGAAGGCCAGCGCGTAGAGAAGGTGACAGAGATAGGTCGAATACTGAGGCCCTTGCCGAGTCTTAGGGTCCCTAGCTTTCAACAGCCGCTTGTCTTCACGGGCTATTTCATCAGTCAGCAACTCCGATAGCTGTACCGTTGGATCCTGGTGACACCTGAGGTGGGAATCAAAATCAACAATGTGGCTCCTCGGAAAGAGAATTCATCTTCATCTAGCGTATACTATGGTGAAAGGGAGGACCTCCCACTTATTGACACAGACACAGTAAAAATCTAAATTTTCTAAAATCGCAGCACAACATGAACATTCTCGTCATATTCAAAATAAAATACGCACTTACCCATTTATTTTACAGAAAGAAGAAATAAGTAGTACTCACAAACCGCATCTCTGCGAACATCCACGGGGTCTGGCGTCGTGACATCATCAAGCACTGGCAGCTGCGAGACGGCCGCGAGATTGTCTGGTCCTCCGGATGATGGGTCTTCTCCGGTACTCCCGATACTTGGCGGCGCCTTCTTTGGGGGAACGAGGCCAGGTCTTAGAAACTTGACCTTCTATATTCACGTACTTTTTTAGCTTGTTTTTCATTGTACTAAAAAAGATGAGTAGAAAAGATTGAGTTTTGTATTTTTAGTGCCGTCAGCAGGAGTTTTTGTTGTACCTTCTACTACTGCGTAGTTCTTGTACCACGTTCAACTAAGAAACAGGTTGCCATAACTGTCCAAACAGGTAGGTAGCCAAAGACCGAATACTGCGTCCGAAGGCAAGCTCGTGCGTGAAGGACGGCCACCGGAAAATTAGGCCGTAACCAAGGTTCGGAGATATGCTGTCTGAACCGTCACGGGCAAAGGGCTGAGACGGGTCTGGGACAACACCATTCGAAGCGAAATTCGATACGCCGATCAACGGCGACTCTTGGTGCCTAGTATTGGGAGTGGTGTATTTGGAGTAGAAGATTGGTCCTGCCAGTTCAACAAGAACTCGACGCCGTCCTGGGTTGTTCTTTTAGATTTTCTTGGCAGAGTTTTCACGCAATTTCATGTACATCGAACCTCTAACGGATTTAGACTTTTTGAAGATCTAAAATGAGCGACAAAACTCGAATAGACGAGGGTGTACATCCGTACGTACTTGGCATACATTGTCTGAATCTATTTGCACTGACTGCGAAAGTAGATTGGGTTGTCTTTACCAAGAATAGAAGCAGAAGGAGTTAATATGAGTACTGAAAGAATTTCGCGAGGAAGGATTCTTGGATCGTGTTGCTGTTCATCGGTAGCTTCAGAGACGTCAAAATGGCAATCAAGGCCAGCTGCGACAGGTGCACTCTTGGTTATGGCAGGAGAAGTGCACGCATCACCGGTGTAATCGCGAAGTGGTACACCAAGGAAGTGAGTGAGGAAAAATTATGGCGCCTCCATAGCACCTAAAAACGCTGCTAGTCCGCAACTAACCGCATCGAAATGTCCCAACTTTGGTTCATCGCGTCACAAGTGATCTTCGCAAACACACTGCACAACGAAGATTAGAAGACGGTGGGAACGAGATACGATTCGATGGGAGAAGAGAATAATGAGATAGCAGTCGACACTACATGTGAAGGGGAAAGTATGATCCCCGAATTTCAAAAATGACGGCAGCGGCAGCTACCGCTCTCTTCAATCTAAAGATTCTCAAGAAATTTGTTGTAAAAACAAAAAACTCGCGTTCATATTACGAAAATAGAAGTAAGACAAATTCTGAAAAGCTAATGACCACCAGCAAGAAAATTTTGCTACTCGTCCTTTTTTTCACACTCACCTTGTAGTGTATTTAAAATGACTAGACAATAGCCTTAAAGATCGCTCTGGCGGAAGAAAGTTATGTCGACCTTCGGCGTCAATGGTTCGTGTTCTAGATCGACTGTGAGTTTGATCCCAGTCTCATCCTCACCCTGTTGGAATCATGGGATGATAGGTAAAAAGTGGTGATGTTGTGTCTTATGTTATGTTATCAGTAAAGGATGGCCACGCAATGCGTATGTTAGTCGTAGGACTTTGCTGGAAAATCAAAATTTTCATTTTGGTCAGAAAATTATTGTCGTGTGTGTACGCCTGATAGTGCTGTTCCTAGTACCCGTAGAGTTTTCTTTTGCGTTAGAACTATATACCACCGCCCTTTCAAACAATTAATTAACTCGTTCAACTAATTTTTTCATACAAATTACATACTGGGGGTGCATAAGGCCGTACATTCGGCCACAAGTCTACACCTAACGGAGAAGCCGCACATTAGACCCCTGTAGAAAAACTAAATCGCAACCCGACGCAGCGGGGCCCCGTGAGCAAGTCAGCACACCTGCAGGGGTATGACACGCCGCAACACTGATGATTGATTTACTGGTGAACCATCTAAAGCATGTACTGCCAGGTAAGAAATTAACTACGACTAGCAAACCCGAAATCAGTGAAACAGGCCTGTGCTAAGAATAAGCGCAGAGATCGGACGTAACTAATATTATCAGTGGTTCCTGCAACTAGTTGTAGTACAATTTCCTCATAGTCTTCGCCTAATCCCAGTTCTTTGCCCAAGGCCTTGATGCATTTTTCGTTACCGACAACCAGCAAAACCACGAAGGCCTGACCGACCTGACCGTAGCACATGCACATATCCACGTATGGCGAGAGCTTGCCAGCTGACTCCACCTTGGATAAGTTAGAGATACCTCGTTCGCATTCCCGATGCCATCGTCGGCGACTTTTCCCGTTGAGAAAAGAGCCGAGGATGATGTTGAGGATGCATCCTTGCCCTTGGTAGTTGCCGTAAATAAGGCGACGTATTCTCCTTGGGATCCCTTCCACAAGTCCTTCTTGCGGTCGACGATCTGGAGGGTTCCACTCTCGGTGATTTGTCCAATATCACCGGCACAGAACCAACGGGGGTTAGAGATGGATAAGATTGGGTTTCTTGCAGTACGCGCTACTTGTACGTCCTCTCATTGTTCTGCCACGTTTCAACATGTGGATTTAGATCGATGTACAACTAGATTGCTGGGTACAACATCTGGAGGAGGCTCTACTGCTTCTGATGTTGTAATTCAACAAGATTGCTTGCTTGATTGATGTACCTATTCGTGAGGTACAGGGGCTACCTGTGTGCATTGGGGAGAGGGATTTTCCATCCAAATTCCACCACCATAAGATATCCATCCGCTTGCAAATATTCCTCCTGATTTTTTTTCACCATCTCTTTGTCGTTCTCGTTTAGGTTGCCTGGATCTGGGATAAAGTATCCCTGAGAGACCATCGGACCACCAATCAAAACCTCTCCTCTGGGCTTGCCAATGGCTGGATTTTCCTTGTCGCTGTTGAGGTAGAGACCCTCTGGCCAATCGCGGAGACGGATTACCTGTGTGTGAGGTGGATTGATTTTTATTTGTAGTGTCTCAAAAGTCTCGAGTGATTGTGAGATGGATTCATTTTTCGCAGTGATGTCTCAAAAGTCTCGAGTGAGTGTGAGATGGATTGATTTTTCGTAGTGATGTCTCAAAAGTCTCAAGTGAGTGTGAGATGGGTTGATTTTTCCTAGTGGTGTCTCGAAAGTCTGAAGTTAGACGAAAAGATGGTAGAGGTACTAGTACTGGCAAAAATATACTTAGAGCATCTTGGAGGAGAATAATAGAGATAGAAGAGATGCAGGTCGACGTCTACGAAATTTTCCTCCACCCCCTTTGACGATAGGTGATAGATTATAGTCGCACTACTTAATATTCTCGTCACGCTCATGATTATCCTTCTACGAGTACTACTTTTCGTTTTCACCACAAAATGAAACACAAGTACCGTCGCCATAGTGGGTACACCCACAGTGGTTGGGCTATTGTCACACCAAAAAGTGACACACGAAGCACCAGCAGTCTCTGTCATTAGATGTTGCCTAAATCCATCTCGATCAGTATTGGTAGTAGTAGTGTACCCAATCGTCGGGTATACTACTACTACCGATCAGCGTCTTGGGTCCCTTATTGATTCCCTTTCAAGATAATACATAGGAAAGACTTCTTGGATCCCTTAATATTGAGTCCCTTTCGAGATCTTGGACCAAGATGCTGGGCAAGATTCAGATGGATTTATCTTTGGGTCTCAAGCTGCCATAATGTTAATCCATAGCCTTGACCAATCGGGCAGTTCAAAACGGTCGGAAAAAACGCCTGCAATTCCTTCGACAGAGGTGCGGAACCAGTGATCACGCCTTTCACTCGTCCACCAAATTTTGCGCGGACAAGGATTAGACGAGGGACTAAGTAGAGAAAAGGGACCTTTAAGACAGCCGATGCCGCCACTGAGAAAATGGAAACGGTTCAGGATGATAATGATGATGATGATGATAGTCGATTCGGGTTGGACCTACGATTCATATTGAAATGAATCACGATTCCGATTCCGTTGATAAAATCCCAAGCTGCTCATAACTTCCCCAACAACTTATTCGGGAGGAATCCGTACGACCCCAAATAGCAGGTTTCCTGGGTGACTCCACTAGCATCGAACTTGGCACGTCCGTTGAGGATAGCTCGATCAAAAATCTTCTTTTTCAAGCCACTGGAGAAGAGAGCAGTGAGACCATTCATTGTACACCTTTTCTAGGACAGCCGGTGCGAAGACGATGCCATGAGGTTTGGAGACGATAAAATCTCCACTCGATTCAGGCTTCTTCCGTTTGACGCCGTCGGACAGGGTGTGCAGATTGGCATAGCACAGGCACATACGAGAGGCGAGGGACGCGATTTCAACTGTGGTCGTGGTGGTGATGTGTAGAAATATTTATAGGGAACTTAAAGGGAAAGGTAATGGGAGGTTTAATGAGATAAGGAAAGTAGGGATATCGGGTCGGCTGCAATATGCAGAAAAGCTGCATTTAGATTAGTAAACTCACACCTACAAAGTTAAGAATACCCGCCAGTTCCATGATATGTGCCAGCGGCAAATAGCACAGCATGCTGTCACCCGGGGTCAAGAGTCCGGCATAAACGTGCTCACCAGCGCCAACGAGGGCATTGACATTGCCGTGAGACAGGACGACGCCTTTTGGCAACCCAGTCGTTCCAGATGTGTACATAATCACGGCAGTAGACTCTGGTGGTGTGTCCTTGATGGAGAAGTCGTCGAGCTTCGTCATGCCTTGGTGCCGGTTAGAGTATGGCAGACGAGAGGACGGGAAAGGGGAGAAAGGTCGAGAGAATGCTTGTTGTACTTGTGGAGGCAGGAGGAAGAGATCAATCTCCTCAGCCATAAAAGTGAATGGCTCTGGTATTTCCTCATGATCAAATTCAGGTTACCAAATACCAGAGCCATACAAAAAATCATGAATCAGAAATGTCGTGTTTGTAGTACAAGTAGTTCGTTTATCGGAACAAACTGATAGTCAAAATTATCTATATCTTTTGTCATCTTCTTTACACCCACTTGTACAAGGAGTCGAAAGGGTTTCTCAATATTGCCCTATCCACCAGATCCGTGAAATATTCGACGCCCTCAATGCCACCATGGGCCTGCTTGACCGTCGCGACCGTGTCTTCTGGGGCCAAAGATTTCTTACCCAGAAAGATGACGTGGGACACCGAGTTGCACTCTGGAAGGACTTTTGCCAACGTTTTTGCCAGTTTGAAGTCTGTAATCACGATCTGTCCTTTGGTTTGACCCAAAGCGTGTTTCAGGCCGTCTTCACCAAGAGTGCTGTAGACGGTTACCTTTTAGTTTTAGATGGGGCGAAAAGAGGTACTTAGTTGGATGAAAGAGGTACTTAGTTGGATGAAATTTCTGTACTGATGTGACTTTGTGTGGTGCTCCAGGGGAAAACGAAGGAACAAAGAACAGGGGATGGCAAGGACAAAAACTATACTTCAAATCTAGTAGTGTTGCAGTTGCACAAGGATCCAAGTACTTAGTTATTTTCGTCCTAGTGTTGAACTTGAAATCACAATGAATAAATCATGCAACTACAGGTACCACCGGCTTCGCTTGTGTGAACGCGGCAATCGCCGAGCAAAACCAATCCATTTGAGTATCAGCGTAGATGACAATACGGCAATCTGGATTGTTGATAGCCCCTTTGGCGAAATTCGTGAGACCAACAGCAAACGCCTTCACTCTCTCATGAATCTGCTTGTACGTGAGGAAGGTGAGCTCATTTGCAAGGTGGAGTTTTTCGAAACCGTTCTGTAGCTGGTGATGTTGTGTTCGGTCAAGTGAGGGATTTGTTTTTGCGAAGACGCCAACGTTTTTCTTTGTTTTAGCTAAATTTTTAATATGATCTACCTAGTACTACACTGCTCAACGAACAATAATAAGTCTAACAAACTAGTATTACTACTAGATCTTTTCAAATTTGAAAGCGAAATACGAATACCTCATAATAAATCCCAAAAAGCTGACGATATCCAGCTGTGTTGTGATGGGAATATTCCTTGCATGCCATATCCCACAACTCGGCAATGCTTTTGGCCTTCTTCGTACCAACCGTGATTAGGTTGTTAAAATTTCCCGTATAATGCGAGTTGTAAAGCACTGGACCGAGGAGGGGTTAGAAAAGGAGATGGACAACGACAATGTAGGACTGCTACTACTCGAGAATCATTCCTCTCACAATGATGATGTAAGGACTTGACTGCGATTGTTTGAGGACAAGGATTTTTAGCTTAGCCAGTTGAACTAGAATGCAAGCCGAAACCGCCCAATAGCGCAATGTGTGAATAAGACGAAGACGAGTCAGAGTCTATGTCTATAAGTATAATTACATTGATCATTTGATAACTTCATGGAGATTCTGACGAGGACACGAAGAACCTCGTCTGCCTCTGCGTCTCAGTAAAAATTACTTAGACCACTATTACATCGCTTCAAGCACAATCTCAAAAGCTTAATGAAATAGCTCAAGAAAGATTTAGATTTACAGTCCACAGTAACAAATTGTTCTAGTGCAGCTCAGAGTCATAACCAGGCCTAGTATCTTTAGTGCTCAACAAGAACCGCCTATTGTTACGCATTAAATAGTAAAGAGTAGCATTACTCAGTGTCATAACCAGGTGTAGTATCTTTCGTGCTCATGTCGAAGACGCCGTAGGGTAGCTGACGGTGCAAGGTGGTTACTTGTCCTGGTGCCATATTTAGAGGCTTCCACATTACATTCTTCAGAACATCCGGAGCCTATTTAACCCTTGAAAAGGAGCTAAGGATGGTGGTGAAGGATGCAATGTGGAAACCCTTAACATATGTGCCGGCATCGGTAGGCTACTCCTACTCGGGTACCCCTGAGAGGGCGCACCACCCATACAACAGCAGGACGACATCTTGTTTTTCGTAGTTGAAGACTTGTATATTTGAGGTGGAGTAGTTGGAAGGAGGAACTGCTTGTGGTGTAGACGTAGTAGTTCTTCTTGAGGGTACTATGTATGAGTTGAAGTTCTTTGGACTCGCTTGGAAGGATGGACGAGGAAAAAGGGAAAGAGCACAAGTGAGTACAAGTAACTACTTGTACTTCAACTTCTCCTAGAGGCTATTTCTAAAGGCAACTAGAGAGCACTCCACTATTAGAAGGTGCCTTTTTGTTTATGAGCAGGCTAGCAAGTTCTATCTAATCAATTTGAATTCCCCTCTTCGCAAAGGTTGTAGGAACATTTTCGGGCAAACCACACTCGTTTGCAACTCGTTTTTGTCGTTATACTCGCTATTTATTCATCACCATGTTTTACTAGATGTTGTAGCTTTTTTCCCGAGTATTGCTTTCTGTAGCAGATTCCCCTCTCGTTGTAGTCACGTCGTTTACCAGCCTTGCTGAGATCCGACACAACCGAGAAATTGTTTACCACCCCAGAATACAGATTTAGTTCTCTCGCAGCCTCTGCACCCCCGGTGGAGCGGAAATACTTAAGTATTTGGTCATGCGTGCGTCTCTGAACACAGAATTTGTCGCATGAGTAATTATACTCTTACTACCTCTGCAAATCTTCAAATCGGAATCACCATGAAACTTCACGACAAATTTCAATTTGTACACAGACAGAGAGAGAGACACCTGGAGGTTGCAACATCATATGAGTGACAGTCGGATTAGATTTGAAGTTTTGGTATCGACGGACACGCAACGTACCTGCATGTTGTTCACGACAAGATGGCAGGTTATGTGTGTTGATGTGCTAAAAAATGGTTTGAAGCCCGCTTCGTTGTATGAAGATGGAAAAATTGCTTTAACAATGAGGACGCCATCACTCATACCTATATTTTGGCGACATCGGTGCGTGCGTCCCCCGTTTCGAATCGGTTATAATTATGGTGGCAGTCGTTTATTTTACACTAGTGAGTTAGCGAGAGAGAAATAACGGGAATGCCAAGGAAGTGTTTGCTACCTATCATCAGCACTTGTTGCTTTTACTTTGCAACAAATATCGCGTAGATTCCGAAGGTCATGAGCGTGAAAAGGACAAGGATCTCTCCATAAATCCAAAGCGGGACTGCTCCTTGGTACCAAAACATATGGTCTACACCGTTCAACCAAAACCACAGTGAAATGAACACCAAGTTCACCACATGAAGTAAAGAAAAGTGTCCGATACTTAGAGCTGATGCTTCTTCCTCTTGCATCTTCAGGCTGCTCCTGCTCAGCCTTCCAGCCTTCATGTCTGCTTTTCTCCTCCTGTTATGCGCTATTCTGTACTCGTCTGCTCTTCGGACTGCGTGACATCCTAAGGCAAAGAAAAGGGATAAATTGACCCACATTTTTCCCACGGACAGCGCAAAATACTGTCCTTGCATGTCGGTCCAAAGCTTAAAAAGCTCAAAATTCCCCGATTGCCCATTCACGTACTCGTTGTACTCGTCAGGTTGCATGATGGGGAAGTACCTGACGGCGGTGAAAGTATTTTTCGAGATGAAGACCCAAGAAATAGGTCCTCTATAGTTGAGTGTCCGTGTCAGAAGAGTAGCCATAGATTAGAAGAACAAGAAGTGGATTTCGTTTTCGACACTATTTTTTCATTTCCGGCTGCCCTGCAGCTGCTTACTTCTTCAGGGATTCTGCTTCTACAGAGGACACTTGAAAACAAGCAAAAGAATAAGTAAGTAGAAAGTACACATATCGTTATCGCAGCCAAATTTATAATAAGAATAAGAGTATGATTGAGTACACATATCTCAGCCAAATAATCCGTCCCCACCACACGAATCGATGGATTGCTGGGTCGGTGATCCACAAGATACCCATAAAGATCCATTCTTTGTGTCTCTCCAACAAATACGTCCTCTGCTCATCCCGATCCCTTTCTGCTCTCGGCGTCGTACAACTGGCGTCCTTGATCAGTTCTAGATGGTGGTTGGAGATCGTTGTTGTTCTTGAGGAAGATGAAGAGGGTGAGACTGTAGTTGTCTCTGGCTCACTTGTGATTTGCTCTTGAGGATCGGTGTCCCCAAACTTCGCTGAGATCCATTCACAGAACTGCGTCCACGAAGTCGCTGTTGCTGTTGAGATTTCATCTATGCCTTTGGACAATCGCACTATAGTACTCGAATGTCGTCGTTCCCCACGCGCTACAGCTCTGGCCTCCTTGCCTTCGTTGCCAAGACCACGCATGCGAATCGCGTAGAGAATGCCAATAGCCATGTGGCTCACCGACATCCAGAGGAGAAACTCTGTGTACAAATCCGTGCTCGCAACTGGCTTCCCGCCAACAGAAATGCCTTCCTCTTGGCCGTTCAGGAGTGTGGACCCAGCGCTCCAGGTGAGGAATGAAAGAGGAGTTGATCACGACGGGACGAAAATAACATCTAGTTCATCTAGGCCGATCTGGTGGTCAATGAAATTTCACTTCAGTAGAAACACTAGCGTTAAGTAACGCGAAGGCGCACGCGACAGCAAGAAGAACTGCCTATTCTGAACCCGACGCCTGACACTGTAACTCTAAGCCAATTGCTCCATGCCATACAACATATCCATTTCCGCTGTCGTCTTCATGGACGTTCGCTGTTGCGTTCGGAAAAGACCACAAGTACACCGCCGTGTACATGCCTCCAAAGACTAGGAAATAAGCGGCATAGCCACTGCTCTGATGCAAAAACTTGAGGTCGCCGACATTTCGTAGAGGGAAAAAGCAATTGTTCTTGAGAAAACTGGGAAGGGAATCGTCGACGATGCAGCGATGGAGGAAGGACATCTGCTGCTGGGTGACTGACTCGGTGGCGGAGGGTGCGGTGAGAGGAGGGCTTCGCGAAGAGGAGGCGGAAGATCCACCTGGTGTTGTCGTGGACTGTTGACGGATGTTGAAACTTTTATTTTCGCAACTTGCTTCATAAAAACTTACTACGCTTGATGAGTAAGAGTATTGAAGATATCTCGAAAAACCAAAACCACGAGAAGTATTTAGTTTTCGTGTACAAGTGACTAGTTCTTAGTAACTCAAACGCATAGAGAAATCATTCATTCACTCATTCATTCATTTACCTGTTCTGGAGGTATCTTTTGACGCTGACTATCTAAGAAAAAGGACTATCTAAGAAAAAGGACTATCTAAGAAAAACCTGCCAAAAGCGGTGTCGTCAGTGTCGTTTCCCCTCCTTCTTGCTTTTGACTTTCCTGATCCATCAACACAGGCTCCCGACTCGTTCCACCAGTATGGGACAGCAGCTGCAGAAACAGCATGTTGATCCACACAAACATGATGAAAATGTGCGTCCAGAGTGCCCAATTCGGGTTTTCGTGTGCGCAATTGCACAACCCACTCCATATTTGATGCGAAGTCCCAAGGGTAATCACGTAACTTGGCAAAAAACTCACGGTCGGCACCAGAGCCAAGCACCACAGAAGGCGAGTCAACACGGATGCGGAGGACATGAAATAGAAATTTGATGAAGAGGAGTCATTATTTTCATTTTGGGGATTTCTCTGTTCTTGATCTTGATCATCTTGAGTACACGAAGGAGATGAAGGGCCCTGAACCTGATTACGCCTACCACTTCTACTAGATAACAAGGAGGACGACATAGGTCGTCGTATTAGGAAAAAAGAGCGAAAAGAGGCAACCACAGGGTCAACTGTGGAGGCCTTAACGTTCTGAAGGCATTCCATGGTCCAGCACCCCTTTTTGCTCATGACCATCCTTCCTACTGGGACTAATGAAATTTCTTTTTAGGGGGAGTTTCTATTACTTGCAGCTGCTGATGATTTGATTGCGTTTGCGGCTACTTGATCTTCTTTGATACCCTTCTAAGACTCATCATAGTTGTATTATCACAGGCTAGCGCAGGGATGACGACATCCCTGCGCTGCTGTTAAGTTTATTAAGTGCGGTCGGTTTGTCTCGTATAAGATGAAGGAGTCGAAAAAGGTGACGAGAGTGGAGAACTATTAGACCGAGGGGGTAGGCTAGAGCTGAGAGTAGGGGAAAGAGGTAGAACGGAAAAACCGACTATGCTAAATAGCTTAGCAGAGCACTGAGGCAAGAACTGTGGAAAACGTGCGACGCTGCCGATAGCTGAGCCCGATAGTTCGAGAAAAATGCGCGCCATTTTTACACACTGAGCCCTTTTGCATTTCACTGCAGCCAAGCGGAAGGCGATAGAGATTGGCAGACGTCTGCGCCGCACCATGTGGCAAAACGATAACAGAGCGCCGATAGGAAAAGCCACAGCGGTGCGCGTTTTTTTCTAGCTGCTTAACGCTTTCGGGGTAGTTTCGAGCTGTTACAGAATACGCCCGAAGATGATTACGAAGCCGAAGCGATAGAGAGCCGCCCCCACTTCTTTTGTAGCAAGTGCGCGTCGCTTTTGCGGTTATTGTCTGACCCACGCCGCAGATGTTTAGCGAAAATATAACACACGACGTGTGAAGCAAGTTACTTCTTAGCAAAAGCGAGCGCATCGCATCGCTTGACTGACATGGGCCAACTCCCTACGGTGCACACTGCGCCGCTGAACATTAAGGAAATCGAGCGCATGGCGAGCAGTCACGCGCGCCGCTTTGCTATACTTTACGGCGGTCGCCATTATCGACGAAACTGGTGCGGTCTGAAGATGTTGCAAACATCACAAAAAGAACCGCAATCACCTGACTCGGCGCCACAGTCCGAGTTTGGGCCTGTGCCTCTGCCTTCTTCAGAATGTGGATCAGAAGCAGCAGAATGAATTCTCAGACTGGCAAAGCCGAAGACATTGCAGAGCCCTGCGCGCAAAAAAGTCGAAACCTGCCCGGGAGAGGTTGCTAGGCTTGAAGTTAGCACTGAAGAACCTCGTCGATTCTTTCTAAGACTCGCCCTGACTCTTCAAGATTATTAATATCTTACGCGCTGCTTTTTCAGCTTCTCACTCTCCAGCCCAATACCCATCAGCAGCGCGGCCTGGTAAGGTGTAAAAACCCAGCCGACGATCTTGGATGACGTTGCAGAGCGTTCGAGGCGCCCGCCTTTGAAAACTGGCGCGACAGGTACCGCCTCCACGCAGCACCCGCGGCGTCTTGTCCCACGTACTACGAGGGCGCACCTTTTGCGCAATCTGCTCGGCTTCGATTGCGCCATAGAAAGGCCGCAAGCTTATGAGAAAGCCCCGACATGCTTCGCGCGCACTGTCATGCGCCGCGTTTTTCTTTGTGCAGGTTTTTGGTGCTCGGGCTTTTAACTTTTTGCAGCGGCGCGGGGTTTTTTCTATGATTTTGCTAATTCTGTCGCGCTTGACATTGTTCGCCAGGCGCTTTAGATGTTTCTGAGGAAGCGGCGCGGAGTATTTTCTTCATGTTGTGGCAGACAGTGCGCTGCTGTGCCCATTTCAAACACCGCGAGACGAATCTCCTTCCTTCGTCAGCTGTTCGCTGGAGTACACGCCGCAGCAGTTGCAAACTCCTGCGCCCCCAAGTCAGTCACAAACGCATCAGCCTGGTAAGCCCCGAACAGGCGCGCCAGCTGTGTAACGGCATTCCGCGGCCGCGCTTTGCTGAAGAGCTTGGCTGCTGCTGTAGCTGCGTCTCGTCTCCAAACTTCTCCGGCTTTCATGTCTGCCCTGCTTTAGTGGAAAGGCTGCCGATCGAAATAGTGAAAGACTTGGCTGCGAGCCTGCTCCCGTTCATTCCGGGCGCTGAACGCTTGCGGAAACTGTTCGGCGTGCACAGTAAAAACTTTTGGCGCCAGCGGGTATTTCTCCTGCCATATCTCGCAGATTGTGAAGAAAACCAGCGGCCAGCTATGTCGGTGCAATTGTGTCGATTTCGCGAGCAGTTTGCATTTCTAGCCGTTGCGTTTCGTGCCTCGCTCTGCTGGGTTCATTGACTGGCGAAGAACTAACGAGCTTGAGCGTATGGGGAGAGGTTATTAACAGCGTTGCTCCCTCACATAGTGGCGAGAAGTAGCCGCACGAAGTCGACGGCTTAGCCAGTTGCGCCGCGGTTCCATATTCACACTCTTCCTGGCTTGGCAATGCTCTGCAAAGATAAGACAGCAAACGAGGCGCCTAAATGCGTGAGGGTGGCGCCTTTGTTGATTATTCTATAACTCATAGGCGGCACGTTTCTGGCTGTTGACTGTGAGCATGAGAGCAAAGCTGCCCAGAGGCTCACTAAGTTATTGGGCCAAGGAGTGCGCAGACTTAGAGGCAAAGCGAAGCTGCCTCACAGAATGGCTGACGACTGTGAAAAATGAGCAACGGGAGACTATGCGCTGCGCTCCATTTTAGCGAAGTTGGAGGACACGGATAAGAGAAGGAGGGAGCGAAGCTCTTTGGCAAGTTATTAAGCCAGGCGGTGGCGTCGGTGAGTGAGTGCGGCTTGGCTAATGAATGACATGCATCCAAAAAAAAGAAGCGACGTCAGTGCTGCTGCATTTTATGGAAGCCGGGCGCCCTTCTGGTTATGATCTCGGTGGGCCACAGTTGAAGACTCAGAACACAACGCAAATAGATATCGAGCGAAAAACTACACTCACGCTCAGACTTCTAAAAAATTAAAGTCTAACAAACTTTTTCAAAGTCTGAGCTTGAGGGCAGTCTCTTACCCGATTTTATTACGGAAAGAATAGCGAACGCTATGACACACATTGCGGGGGTGTATTGCCTCAAGACATTCACAAGATTCGTGGGCTCTGAGGCTGGCCAATGGCGTCATACGTCTAGGAAATTTGCGCCATCTTTGGCAATTAATTTAAAAAGTGCGCTGATGCCATCCTGGAAAGCTGTGCCTGTCAAAGTAAGCGAGCCGTCTTCAGTAAGAGAATAGGCGCCGGCCTTTCTCAGTCGTGAAGCGAAATGAGAACTCTTCTGCTGCGGCAGTCTTTTGCTGGTCTCCTGTGAAAGTTTCTTATCTTTGTTGCGTTTATGATCAAAAAAAGCGCTGAGGGGTTTGATGGCGTAGAGACAAAGACAGCGACGGGCCTCAGATAATCTGACTTCGTAACGACTAGCTCATCGTCGACTTCCTTTGTCTCTCTTCTTTGTCTTTTACCTTTGTCAAAGCCTCAAAAGTCTCTCCGTCTGGGCCCATCTTTAGGCCAAGATATAAAGGAAAAAAATGCAGTATACCGTGGCGCAAGAGAGAAAAATGACGAGCGTCGACTTTCGTTCTAGCTTATACGAGATACTATATATAAGTCTACGGTCTACTGTGAGTCAAGTAACTACATGTCCTTGAAAACTTTGATACTACATCAAAAAGTAGCAATTTCATGATCGAGCGGTATTTCTAAATGCGAAGAACGTTACTTACGTCGTAGTAATGAGAAGTAATAGAGAATTCGTGTTCGTCGTAGTTATCGTGACCTGTCGTAGGGGAATGCAAAAGATCACAAAGTTAAACAACAACAAAGATACTACCTACAGCTAAAACTGGAGATCAAAGCATGATCGGATCATCATTAACATTTTGCGGGGGCGGGTCAAAAATCATTTTATACACATCAACACTCTCAGGAATTACAAATGATCGCGATCGCACGATCACAAAACCCTGAAAGACAGAGGCACTTCTGGCAATGGAGCCGGGCAATGACAGAGTTACGAGGGCCGAATTGGATGAAACAACTGCTGTCAGATAGTCAATTAGAGAAAGAGCAAGACCACAGACCGAACAACAACAAGCACATAATTTCTCAACACGTAAGTAATGAACAAATGGAAACAGTCTTCAATATCAATGATCTCTCGCTGTGAGCTCTCTCGTCTTTTTGCCAAGAACAACCTGTCCTTTTGCTTTTCCCCGATCGCGGGATGAACACACGGACCCCAATGTCTGATCACAAACATACTGTTCTTTTGTGCTTTGTCTTTTTACAAATTTCCAAAGAGAAACGAAGCGTGCATTTCACTATACAGTTCGTCGTCGACTAAGTAGGGAGTACTGTTACCTTCATGTTCTTCCTCTTGCTTGTTGGACATTACATCTTTCTACATGACAATCGAGAAGCTGTGCAGTCGAAAAAATTCTCATTGTCATCACTTATTCGCCTGTTCGGCCACTTCCGTTGCATGCTGCTCTACGTACTAGGGTTCAGCTCTTGTATTTGCTGTACTTGCGTTACACTATTCTTGAAGATATGCATTTTTGCCTTGCGTAATTCCACTTTTGTAAGCTTTCAGTGTCGAGGTGTGCATTTTCACTTCTACCGAGTCCTGGTCTGTGGGCTTCAGTAACGTGCTTGATGACTTGCAGTTTTGATGTTCTTGGTCCTTATTTCATTTTGCATGATCATGATGTTGATGCTGCTACATGCCCAGCTTCTGATTCCTGTTTCGAGAAGCCTCTCTGTGACATGATATAGCACAAAAATGACTCACTGGCGCAATAATTTGATGTTTCTATATATAATATATTTCTTTTCAATACTGTGGTATACATTTTCCTCACCCTGTCAGATGGTTCACAATCCTTTTGAACTTTTGAAAGTCTACCTCGTCTACGTCACTACCACTCTTGCTACCATTAGACACTGCAGAAATCCATCTCGGTGAGCATCTTCGTAGCCATTTTCCCTTCAAAACGGGAACAAGATGCCGGGAAAGATGGATTTCCTCCAGCCTTAATACCACCAGTCTGTTGATCTTGTTCGTGAAACAACGCCAGCAAACTGTCGTAGCCGTCTTTCATAATGTCCTCGATGCCTACTGTCTCCAACAGCGTAGGCAACTCATCGCTTCTCACAATGCCACCTTGCGCCTTCTTGTACTCGAGAAACATGCGTCGGAGGGCTGAGGATCAAGATTTAGATAGAAAGGTGCGTTATAAGTGATATGAATCGATGTAATCATGAATGTTGAATTTGGAACATGTTGATCGCAATGTTCCTCGAATTGATTTTAAAACTATACGGATGTAGTTGAAAAAGGGTTGCTCTCCCGCCTTCACCTGAGCAGACTGATGAAGGCCTGAATCAAAAACAAAATAATGAGGGGAGTAGTACTCATCTCTGTCCTCCGCATATCTCGACCGTTCAAAACGAATAGCCCTTGCTGCCGTCCACCTGTTGAGACTGTCGCCATTACAGATCGACGCTTCAAGTCCACGACATCGTAGTCTAACAATATTGTCCTCTGAACCGCGTCAGGCTGGTGGTCTAGGATAAAATGCGCAAGCGCGCAAAATATGCCTTCATCCGTCAAATAAGCCACTGTCTCTCCCAGATGATCCGCTAAGCCAGCCTTGAACTCCGCGAGAAGAGTAGGGGAGAGGTTACCTCGTTGTAGTCGATGGTGGCTAAAAATGAATCTGAACGTATCCGCGAGAACGAGAAGATGAAGCGTACTAAGTGTAAGAATCTGAATGTATCCGCTTCCGCGAGAACGAGAAGATGAAGCGTACTAAGTCTAAGAGAGTGAGAAGTTCCTACCTTTTGCTTTTTTGTAGTTTGTAGTTGCTTCGCCTGCACTTTCTTCCAGTTCAAATAACTGCTTCGAACCCAGTGCGAGAACCATAGATAATTGCTAGAGCCAAACCAAAGCCAAACGAGGGAAACTAACATGCCCAAGGCGAGGGCAGCCGTGGCACAGATGCATACACACGCACGCAACGCGCCCGCGCCTCGCTCCTGACTGTGCAGGCAACACGTACGAGGCGGGGGCGGGCGTAGTTGGGCTTGGGAGTGTAGTCGACGCCGTCAAGCGACAGAGGGCGAGGGCACAAAAGAGAACAGAGCACAAAGCCAAGCAAAGCCCACATTCGTGGCAACTGGTCCGCAAGACAAGTATGCCCCACAGAAGAGGACGCACGGGGCCACTAGCTGTAGCTACTAGAAAAGGCGCCAAGCCTAAGCCATGCTGATAGAAAGAAGAACACACAGCCCGAACACCTGGCGCGGGGCTAGCATAGATATACCAAGCCGCCCAGGTAAGCACTTCTGGCGCTGTTGAATTCAAGCCAGCAAGCTGGACACTGGACGGAGAGGGCCTCCACCTCCGCAAATTAAGACACCAACGAGGCGCGCGAAAACCGAAGCCATTACTTGCTCACACAATTGCCACCGCTGTGGCTGTCCCCATGAGCGCCAAAAGATCCAGCGAAGCCATTCCCCCCAGGCACAAACTGCCAAACGAAAGGCGCCGCATCCGCCTCGCCCCTGCGTGCTGACAGTCATGCAAACGCCATCGGCGTGGCGGCTTCCCTGCGTCGTGCGCGTTTTTGGCTTGTTAGCAAGAACATAGAAAGAAGCTCTGCCTACGTCGTCCGGCTTTGGCGCTGCGCTAACTTTGGCGCGCCGCGAGCCCGCCGCGGTTCGTTGGCGCCTGAAGCGGGCACAGCCCACGGCGCTTGCAGCAGTTTGATGGGCGGCGAAGTCGGCCACTTCTTTGGCGAACTTTGCGCGTGCGCGTGCGTCGTGCTTCCCGGCGGGTTTTTGGGACATGTTGGGAGTTTTATGCTTTCAGCTTTCCGAAGACCTGACCGCGAAGCAGCTCGCCACTTTGCTGGCTCCTGGTCCGTGTCCTAATCTTCCCGATGTCATGGCGCGGGGCGTAAGCTCTTCAGGCCATCCGCTGGCCCCGCTTCTCCATCGTAAAACATCAAGCCGAGGGCCCCGCTCTACGTTCCCGCCGAAGACAACAGCCGCGGCGATGCCACTGATTGGAGACGCCGCCCCCTTGGCTAGAGGCATGCCGCGCGTCTCTTCTCCCACATGCAGCGCACGCGCTTACCGAGTGAGCGCCTCCCCCATGCCGCCTTCGTTCCACGTCTCTCGGGACGGGTGCGCCCATGTGCCGCTCGTCAGATATGTGCGCCGTGAAGATAAGTATGGAAGACCAGGGCGAAAGTGTGGCCAAAAAGTGCCCGCGTTTGTCGTGAAGCTGGTGAGGGCTGCTGCGGGGGTCTTTCGCTGTTCACTAGCGAGATACCCCCGCCAAGCTTTGCGCTCATTTTCATCGCAGAGCAATGCCCTTGCTGCTTTGAGGCTTCCGGCGTTGCTCACACCAAAGTTTGGTGACCAAACCATTGCAAAGAACGGCCTTCCCGCGTTCATATACCGCCAGCCTTTAGGAGCTCACTGCACCGGCTGAGTGACTCTGCCGCCCAGCTAGGCACAGCCGCATCTTCTTCACTGCTGGCGCTCTTGCGGCTGCGCCCCCAGATGCTACGAGAAGCCGCGGAGCGCGGCGAGCTGCAAGCCCGGGCGGGTCGCGGTGAGGATGAACCGACGGGCCAGCGCTCTCCATAAATCCAGCCACTCCACAGGTGCGAACTTTGGGTAGGCCTTAGGACTCTGCGGGACAACTAAAAGCGCCGCCGCCTCTTTTGCTGGCCCGGTTGGCTGTGAAGCTCGCTTGCGAAGATCTTCACCATGCAAGCAGAGCACGGCCAGGCCGGTAGGCTGCCCGCCCGCCGGCCGCACCTAGTGCGCGCCTGGCCTCTACGGGGTTGCACCTGCGGGAAGCCAAATCCGTTGCCCCCCATCTCCAATGTGTTGCAGACCAGGCCGCACACACCTGGCACCGCCCGCGCTGCCTCCGAAGCCCTTGGGCTAGACTACCCTTCACGCATTCTGCGATGCTGCCGTAAGAACTGCAGGCCTGGCCCTAGCTCTCGCAGGAGCCCCTATTCCGCTGTCCTGTGCGTGACGAGCCTCAAGCACGGAGGGACAAGGTGCGGGGCCTCTATCGTTACTGTGCTCCATCCGAGTGGGAGAAGGGAAGCCGCAGGGGCAAGCGCCAGGTCTAGCAGTTCTTTCATGTGGGCAATAGCTGTCGGCAGCTGCCTGCCCATCGCTGCAGCCTCAAAGGCTCGAAATCTGTCTAGAGCGAACAAAAGAATAAAAGAAGCGCGCGCCGATCCCGATGCAAATGATACGCACACAGCCACTACCCCCGAAAGAACAGTCGCGCGCCGCGTCCTTCCTGGGGTCCGAAGGATTAGTGGGGATGTGATTTTGCGCGGGTATGGTATGCGCTATTCGGTCCTCTATAAAGTACCCTTGAACAGCTTCTGTAGCATTTCCGGAAGGTGGATAGCGTCTAACTCCCCTGCTTGTGCGTACTCAGCATATAGGCTTTGCAACTTCGCTTCAAATTTGTCCCTTCTATCGGTGACACCAGGAAAAAGGCGAGGACTGCTTTTCTCTGCGTCGAGTGGTCTCTGTAGAGTAGTGGTCGTGAATGTGAAAGCTTAAGGCTTCATCTTGCTAAGAACACGAGTGAGTGTGTCGTGCTCGTGCTTCTAAATCATGAGTATAATATACTATATAACTATAACAAGTCTATTTTTTTTTTTAATCTAAAAATATATTATCATAATGGATCAACAGTCATTTTCATTCAAATAAGCTTTATTGAAGCGGAGAGAACAGCGCAAAAGAACGCGCAATGATCATCCAGAATTTAAATACTTTCTTACAGTTATGAGACTAAAAAGAGTAAAGAAGAGTAACAAGAGTCACAAGTGAAAGTCTACCGATTCTACCTTTCTCAAAAGCGGCACGCCTCTAGCGCTTGTCGGCTCTCCACAAGGACGTGCTTCTAGCTGTAGAGGTTCTCTCCTCCAATTTTTTCTGAATACGGGAGATTCTTCTCCACTCACGCTCACCGTGATTTTGCCTCCTCCTAGAACCGTCCTTGGTGACACTGCAGGATGATCTTCTCGACGCCATGTAGGTCGCGCCGCTGCGCGGATCTTGCCTTGGTTGTATCCATGTTGACCATGTCCTCTACCAGAATATTGCTTCATATTTGAGCTTTTCACGATCAGCCTTCGTGGTGGATCTGCGCGAGCGCCTGATTCCTCGTTGATGTTGTACCTAAAATACGAGTTACTGCTTGATGAAGAAGCTGCGCCAGGTTGATGTAGGACTGGTGCATCGCGACAAGATGAAACACTGCTAGAACTTGCTCCTCGCCCTACAAAACCCGCCTTGGTATGTTCTGCCATAGCTCTCGCTGAGAAAGCATCGACGCGTTCTGTCCTAGGCGTCGTGTGTAGCAAATAACTGTCATCCCGCATGGGAAGGGTCGACGCCTCCATAGTTGGCCCCACGAGGCCTTTTAGTTGTGGCAGTGCTAGTTTTGGGATGCCAGGAGGACGTGGACGCTCCATTCCTAGCCTGGGGGTCGTTGCTCCTCCATGAGGCGTAGTTGTTGCTGCTCCACGAGGCATCATCGTGTTGGTGCGTGGGGACGGGGCCACCGCTCGTGGAGTGGTGCTCTTTGTAGCAGGAGCCATGATTATCGGCTACAGCTACTTGCTACTCCAGTCAGAGACTATGACTATCTTTATCTCAATACCAACCTCGAAACATATAATCAATGATCATGGGCTTGGGCTTGAATTTGAAAGATAAGTCCATGATACTCATCTTCTCGTTCATGTTGATTCTCGTCCGTAGTTACAACTTGTAGTTTCGTCGACTATCAGTACGCACCAACACGCTTCTTCATGACCACACGATCCTATGAGTCAGAAGCCTCGCTGGTCTCCCGTGTATACTCCGCGCTTCGTCGGAAGTGTTGTTTTGAGGGCTTAATCCATTCCAAGAGAATTTGGCAACACAAAAGGTAGAAGAGACACACTTTCACTTCCGTTCTTGGGTAGATCTTGTGGCTATAGATCGCAAGAATTAATAGAGAGAAACTGACACACAGCCGCACACTAAGGGCCGTGGCCAACAATTCAAATGTTACACGAATCGCAGTGCTACAATGATTCATGATTGTACTGCTCCAGTCACGGGAGGAGCCCAAGAAAGGTCAGAATGCATCTTCAGGTGACAGTGGTTGGAATTCCTCAGAAATTGAAATAGGTACTAGCTGCCAAGAGAAAGTACTGAAACTTAGACTTTCATCCTGTAACGAATTACTTACTAAACATTCTTGGCGTACATAATGGTAGTGCCGGCTTGTACAATAAACCACAAGGATTACTTAGGATCCATCAGTAAAATAAAAGTTGAAAAGTTCTTCAGATTACAGCAGGACGCTGCGAGATGCACATTGATGTACAACTATGGAGTAACGGCAGAACAATATTGCCTCTAACATTAACATCAATCATGTCAACTTTAACACTCGCAGCGTAAAGATTCGCCAGAACAAAAATGGAAAACAAAATAGCGATAGCCCGGCTTGTAACTGCAGTAATACTGGGACCAAACTGGAGATGATAAAGTTCTTACTAGGTAAGGTAGGTAAAAGCTAGCATTCTTCGATGTAACTGAGGACAGTTACTTATAGTATATGCTTGCAAGCCCAAGCCCTTCAAAGGTTTTAGAAGTGACAAACTTTCATACTTATTTCGATGAGCTGTTTCTCCTCCCCCTTCCTCCTTTTACGGGTCACAGTCGGCCATCCACACTCGAGTATAGCATCACGCCCCATCCAAGAGATGATGATGATATACCCAGTAAACAATTTGTCTACGGGTGTGGCACTGCACAGGAAACACGGAGGCGAAAAGCGACTGCAAGAGCTCTATCAAAATGATCTGCGATAGCAGAATCATGGTGCTGACTTCCAATTCGCCTGGTGTCTGTTGAGAAAATTTGACACCAGGTGTAGATGAAGAACACCGCGATGAAATCAGTTTTACGACAAGGAAGTAGATAGAGAGGTTCTTCGCAGTGAACACTCCAACTGCAGGGCTCGTGCTGATGAAGAGAGCCTACCTTTGCCCTAATTATCAAACGCGGAAGCACCCTTGTCGTGCCTGGAGATGAACTACTTCCACCAGTCGTTGCTCCCGTTCGTGTTGTTCTGGTAATGACAAGTTACTGAGACCGCTTAGACATGACTCCGCTTCGTGTACTAGGTCTCTACTAGACGTCAGAGCAGTCGCAGTCGTCCCAGTAGGTGACGGCAGATACGTTGATGACGATGCGGCGATACTATAGGGCGAAGAAAGTCCGGTATCGTCAGTACTCGCGTAGCTTATGCTGCGCTCGACAGTATATTCTGCATCTGGCGACCACAAAAATGTCGTCCCAGCCATTTCTCCTTCTTCGTCAGAAGTAGATGAAAATAGCTTTCTAACCTTGTTTTCAATCGACGTTCTATTTCTTGAGCTCTTGCGAAAAGCACCTTCCACTAGGAGACTGCTTGTTGTGCTGCCAGCAAGTAGCAATGGCAACAGCCCCGCAAGGACACGGGACGCTTTCGGACGATTCGCGACCCGGAAGCTGGCGCCGCTCAAAGGCATTGTGCTGATTGCTGATATTTTACATGCAAATACATGGGAGATGGTGTGTGTGGTCTAATCATATGATAAAGATACAGTGGCGTTGTTGAGAAGTGAAAAGTGCCTCATGGTCAATCTCGTGAGTAAAAACAGGGCTGCAAATGTTGTGCGAAGTAAATGATTTTGATGATACCTGGCTTTTTTGTAGACCACTTGTGGATCATCCTGCGACACTTCTGAGCATCGACTTCATCGGAGAATGTTTTTCGAACTGAAGATGGACAAGGCAACAGTTGTCGTCTGGTGGTTTTGGCGCATACAATACAATACAATTTATCTCGCTTTTTTTTTTGTATCGTGAGCGAGTTCCGATAAATCAAAACCTACCTGCGCACTTTGCAAGCGAGTGCCGATAAGTCAAAACCTGCCGACATATTTTCCGCGTAGCTACCGGCGTAGGGGGGAGTTCTTAATCTCCTTAATAAACTACGCTACTGCCCCTACGGTTTACAATGATCAAGAACTAGGAGCAAAGGCAGGAGCAATTACATACCTAGTACCTGCCACCCGGGGCGTTGCCCGTCTCCCCATTACGCGCCTATGTTGAGTGCTACGTTTGGGCGGCGGAGCGCTGTCCGCTTAATCAAATTAAATAATTTTTGGCCCTAGGTGGAGCTGCGCGGCAACTGATTGCTGATGAGAACTAGGCGGATGCTTTGTTCTAAGTAAAAACATGCATGTTGAGTAGGTTGGTGGAGGAACGCTAAGTGCTAGGGGGCTTGAGGTTTTTCTTCATCTTCATGCATCACTTTCTTCTTGTGGCCGGTTCCTCCCGCTATGCAGCCGATGAGAGAAAAAAAAAAAAACAAAAAGCAAAAAAAATTGGAGGGCTGACTCCGACCAAAGGGGCTACCGTATGCCTGATAGCCACAACCGGGCGGGAGATAGAAAATCGGCGAGGGAGAGCGATGGGACGCACTCCCCCTTTCAATTACGTTGCTTAAGTCTCCTCATCGCAAAGAACTACGACAGCGCTTAAGTTTGTATATCGAAGCAATCTCGACCACCTTACTCTCCAAGGAACAGCGCCTCCTCTAGAAATAACGACGCTCAAATATGTTATAGCTCTCCCGTATATATCTCGCCGCAACCATGCCTCGTGTTACCGCTCCGGGTATCCTTTTAAAGACCCTCGAAGAAACGCTCAACAGAAAATAAAACTCGACGGCCCCAATCGGTTCCCATAAAGGCGACCGGCGGACCATCTGAAAACAAGGAGCGCCTCCTGGACACATAGTTCAGTGCAGACTGCCACAAGGGCGTCATAGATGATACACACGATGGATGTTCTAGTTCAATCTCAATGTCTTCGGCCAGTCTGGCAACGCATGATTAGCATCTAAGATACCAAATATGCGTCACTGTCACTGCGTCATTGTTCCTTGTCTTGTTCTTGTTTGACATTTATAACCATGTAGCTAGTTTTTCAAGATCAATGTCAAGATGTGAAGATGGTAAGAGTGCAACTAATTCTTATGAAGAATCGCATATCGATATCGTTCATGAGCGTTGCCCATTCCTCGAATGAGAAGAAAGGAATGAGCAACTTTGTTTTTGGATGGTTCTTTCAAAAAGTATGAGTGAGTATCCCTGCCGTGATGCCTCACCTATTGTTCCGAACACTATTCAGTAATTTCATACTGAAAGCGAAAGGATTGTATCATTGTTGTAGTTTTCTTCTTATGGAACTACAAGCTATAATATCGACTAGACATGAAGAAACTCCTACAGAACGACCTGCTATTGATCTTTCAAAATCAAAACCGTTTTAAACACTTACGATACACTTCTCCTACTCCTTCCGAAGACTCCTCCTCCAAACCATTTACTGCTTCCCGCCATGCAGAGGACAAGCCACGCAGTCCCTATGTAGGCCAACAGCAGGGACAACGCTGTACTAGTCGATGACCCCCGACGACCTCCAAACGCAGAGGACGAAGATGGGGAAGCTGTGCTCCCAGCATTTGGACTCGAGGTTGTAGCAACTGCCGAAACGGACAAAGCTGCAAAATCACTCGCAATTCCTGCTGTGGTGATCGCGGCACCAACGTGCGTAGTGAAGCGTGACGAAAGTGCGGTTGAATTCAATGCCGCCATTGAGACGATGGCAGCAGCCTCATTCGAGTCCGTGGCGACGACACTGTAGTCGATTTCTAGGCTGTTGTTAGAAAGGAGAGCAAGATGAGAAGTCAACAAAGTGGATCATGTTGGCTGTTCTTGTTGAAGAAACTGGAACTTAGTTCGTTCACAAGACAAATATATAAGTTCTACTGGATTAATATCTGCTAGACTGGTGTTATTGTTGAACAAGAAACCCAAAAAACAAAAAACTCCTTAACTTTTGTCGCCAACGAGCGCCGTGGTGAACTCGCGTCCTCTGCAGCTTCTAGATTGCGTGTCCGTTCGATGACATTGTTCCCATCTATTTAGAGCTCTCGCTAATGCATCCCTGTGGCAATCCCTCAACAATCTGCCACAGTATTCCCCTTGTATGGGGATGCATATTGTTGAGGGATTCCTATAGAGATGGATTAGGGGTAGCCTTAATCTATGTCGATGTACTCTCGGACGCGCACGCTCCCGTCCTCACCTTCTAGTTCACCGTTCTCAGAGTACAGCTGACGTCTGCTTGATACAGTGATACTGTTGATCACGATGTCAGACTCTGATATTCCACCAGCTTCGAACATGCTGGCAATACCTGACTTGAAATTAGAGAGGACTATATTTTTTTATACAACTACCTTGATTATTTCATACTTCTTAGAAGAGTTAGCAGTCTTGTCGTTCAAGGGGAAAATAAAAGATCGACTCAGGGTGGTCAGATTCACACGACTGCATGATTCAGCATGAGCAAAATACAACAGTCCTTAATCAAGGCGCCAACAAAAGCAGTGTTATTCAGCAACGTCGCAGACGTTGCGCCAGCTGGCACCGTCATCTGTGTCGTCAGCTTTTGTCGATACGTCCCCGTCGCTGCGGTAGTAGTCGTGGTCGTTGTGGTGGTCGGAAGAATCTATTAGAAACGTTGTCGTGAAGTGAGGAGGTGAGGAGGGATGATACTAGTTCTAGCTGTAGTTGTTGGGAAATGTTGGTCCTCCTGCTCTTAGGGAGCACCAGAGGCTGGAATTAATAAAAGTAGATGCGCAACATAGCTAGTGGTTGATGTGGCTGCAAGAGTCGTGGCGGCTTGTTCTGTTATACTCCCAGACACAGTGGTTGCTGATGCAGCAATAGTCGTTGCACCATTTCCACCACTGCCACTAGCAATATTAGAGGTAGGTTTTTGGTGCTCGCTTACCCCGCTTGTTATGCCTTTCTCCCTTAGGAGAGGCATAAAAAGCGGTAAGAAAAGCACCTTTAACCTACCCTTAACAATAGTTGTGGCAGCAGTAGTTGTTGCAGCGCCGGCAATCGTTGTAGTTGTGGATCCCGAAGGGGCGTACTAGTCATGACAAAGGCACGATGGTCGTGACATGATAAGTATCTAGTTCTAGTGGTAGGGGCACAGGGAGAGGAAAACAATGCAAATGATCCGACACAGGTGACATGTCATGTCATGGAACCTCTTGTGCAGCTATTCGTGTCTACTTGTGAGGCCTCCCAGTGATGCAGCACAGACACTAAAAATTATAGTCTCTTACTGTAGTCGTAGTAGTGATAGTGTACCCAATCTTGGGGTATGGAAGACTTTTTAATTAGTTTAGTTCTTTTTTGAGAGCCGTTGTGTGACTTGCAGACACGACAGTCTACACGAGTGTTCGTTAATTATGTACTTTTTAACTATACATGAATGACAGTCCTCTATGCCTCGTCGTGGAGAATTTCGTAGACGAGGTTGTTCATAAGTTGTAGTCGGCGCAGCAGTCTCTGCGGGAGCTGAAGATATTTTTTCAATTTGTTTGTATCATTCTATTGGTCCTAGTCATGGTAATATTTTTACGTATTGAAGTCACGTCGATCGATTTCCTTTACTTCAAGGGGTCAAGAACAAAGGAAGGGTCTATTTGCGGAAGAATTGTCAAAAGAGATGCTCGATCCAGTATAATTGTATAGATACGATAGACACGACTAAGAGTATTAACAAGAACAGAGTACTTGCAGACGTAGTGCCACTACGATCGAACGGTGGGCACATCCCACGAGAGTCTTTCGCCGCGTTGTTGGCACAGCTGCCAACGCAATCGAAAGGCCCTGGTCCCGTACAGTCGGTAGCACAAGCACTATCACACGCGACGCAATCACCGATTGACGTTAGAACAACAGTAGTCGAGAAGTAAGAAGTTGTAAGTTTAAGTAAGAACAAGAGCTTCAACTTAGTCAACATAAGAAGTGGACGAGTAGTAGTCGCTTCTATTCTCCTTCTTCTGCGTAGTCTAATAAGAGGAAGAACAACGACGAGCCTGCAAGAGCTTGAAAAATCAAAGCACTGTTCTATAATAGATACTAAACCTCGTCCTGCACCATGTTCTTCATAACGACTGTTCAAAATACAAATTGGCTCCACAATCGGACGCTGTCTTTGGCGTAAAGTATTCCTGACGAATACAGAGCTTACTTCCTGGCACTTGTTTCGTGTAGTCTAGATTCTCATCGCCATTCACCGGGATATGAAGTACAAGAAGGAACATGACGAGGGCTAGGTGGGTGACCACTACTTTGGATAGGATAGGATAGGATAGGATAGGATAGGATACGATAGGATAGGATAGGAGTTGGCTCACCTGTGAAGGGGTGAGCGTATAGGTAAGAGGCGCCCTCAGATGACATCTTAAATTTGGAGGTCGTGGACGTCGACCACGTGATGCTGACGGTAGAAGATCAAGAATGACCATTATCAACATAAAAGTGCTCTCGTCCTCTCCTTGATCATGGTACAGCTACAGGGATTCAAGAAGCTCATAAATGTTAGTTCCTGTGATTGCTCCACCCAGGAAGATTGTGTTGCGGACACCATCCACGACGAATATCCGCGAAGTGCGAAGATTCTTACAAGAGAGACCGGCACAGCACGGCAATTTAGAAGTAAATGTTGGTCACCCAAATGTAGTTAATCCATCCTTCTCCTTTCGTCCTAATCCGTATGAAAGTGCGACGGCTTCAAGATGTACGACGTACTAAGATGTGAGCACGACAGCCGTATTAAGGTGTACTTGCTAGTACTTAATATCTGAAGATGATCTACGGCTACCATTATGTTTATGAATCAATTTGGAGATGGACCCCTTAGGGCATCTTCGCGGGATACGGGCGCTACCACTACTAGGGGAAAAAGCCTTTGGTACCATAATCAATGCGGCACACGAAGATCCATCATCGTCTGGTTGGGATGCCGCGTAGTATGCGTCTCTAACAGTGTCCGTTTCTGACGTGACGCGTTTGCATTGCGCGTTCTTCGACTCCACACATTTCTTCGCATATTCATTAGAAGACTCGATAGAATTACTACAATATACTGGAGGTGGCACTGTCAAACTAAAGACAAAATTTCCAATTCCGTCTCCATGTACTAGTACTAGTTCATAAAGCATGTAGACGCAGCGCCATCGCTGTAGGTGCAGGAAGTGCCCCACAGTTTCCCGGTGTCTGACGGACAGATGCCACTGGATCCGGAACAGGTTTCCTCGGTATCACATGTGGCATATATGTTAGAAGAGCGTACCGTTAACCGTAGGAGAGATTCATTTTTCCGGTCTTCTCATGATCTTTGATGTCTACGTTCTATCTCGTCACACGAAGAAGTCCTTGTAGTTATATTCCAACATAGGGAAAATCATTCATCTAAGTACCTGCTGTCGTGAACATCTGTTCCTGTTGTACTTCTGAAGTTTTTAGAAGTATTCAATATAATTCCTCACTCAGCAGGAGCCTAACAACGGCAGCTCGACAAACGGTGCCCGCGGTTTTGTACTGGCACGTGGCTGCGTCACAACAGGTCTCGAGAGCAGAGCAGACCTTACCTGTAGTTTTGTTGTAGAGGAGATTGAGACTCTTGCGGAGTTACCAATTCTTCAGGCCGTCCCTGTAGCCAAGGATCGTAGAAGAAGGAGAAGCAAATCAACTACA